ATATTTATACCTGCCTCTGGAAATTTCCACTACATGCATCTGACGAAGTCGATCTTTGCCCACAAAAGCTTATGCTCCAATACATCTGCTAGACTATAAGGTGCTACAGGACTCCTTGTCGCTTTTGCAGATCCAGACTAACACATCTACCCCTCTGACACTAGATAAATTTAGGGCATTCAGAATGGCATCACATGCAGGCCGGAGTGGTATGGATAAGGAAAGTCTTCTCTCCTATCTAAAGTAAGCTACCCCCAAAGAATGATAAGCCAAGTGTAGCCAGGGTCAGGAGAGGTAGGTTATGGTGCTTGCCTTTTTCTCTGGTTAATCCCTCTATGCTGTCAGAGATTTATAGCTCTTGTCTTTGTGTGGATCAAATCATTTTAAGCTCTGAATAGCTGTGCTATCAGAAGTCTGTATTCTTTTGTGAAGCGACTGACTTCCAAGCAGGATGGAACAATTCTAGAAACCAAACTGCTGTCACTTCTTGATGAATGGGCTAGCAGTGAATTTTGACGTTGCAGCACATTCCCAGATCGGGGGAGATTCACATGGCTGTAGCATTTGTGAGGTTTCATTCAACCCATGACAAAATGAATAAATAAGTAAATTGAAAATCCCCATGTCTGTCACCAAGAAATAAAAGAGCAAGGTAGCCAGCAAGCCAATATCTTAAAACAGGTGCATTTCTGCCCCCCTCTACTGACTTGACTGCAAGAGTTCACTTCTAAAGCTTATATCCAGAACTGCACTGATGTCGGTCATGATTCTAGTACAGGAACGCTACCCTGATTTCCAGAACAAAGCAAAGACATTGATTCAGTAACTTTAATTAAAAGGACAGGGGAAGTCTGCCAGATGGAAAAAGAAGAAACATTTCAGCACAGAAATTATTCTGCACTCAAAACAGTGCATGAGTGAGACTTAAGTGAGGTATGGCGCTTGTGTTAGCCCCTTGACATATGTCACTGTTTGACTGTGGGTCTGGAAATATTTTTCTCTAGCTCCTGAAGTCCTGTGATTACATAGGAATCTCAGATTTTGCTGAAATAACTTTCCTAGCCCTCCTGGCTGCATAGAAAAACTTGGAATGTGACTCAGCCACCAATAGGCAAATCAATAGGGCCCCAAATGCATTATTTTCCCCATCTTAGGGCCTGTCATTATTTTTGGGGTGTGCAATCCAAAATGTGTAGGTTCAGGTAGAATTTGCTGATTGGTTTTGGTTGGGAAAAATAGGAAAAACATGACTCATGCAAGACTGTAACAAAAGCCTTACTGCATGTTAGCTATACCACATCGACAGCTTCTGCCCTATCCTAAAAGCTCTTGGCCGCCACTGCGGCTGGCAGAGTCCTGGGCCCTTTAAATTGCTGCCGGAGCACCACACAGTTCAATGCAGGTGGCTTTGAGGGCTGTCTGCCTCTGACCCCGCCCCTTCCACCTGAGGCCCCCACCTTTCCCAGGGGCCTGCACAGACTGTCAGCTCCCCTGGTCCCCACTGATCATTCTATGAGGGTGTTGGGGAGGGTGGCACATTGAGCACCTACATAAGCTTAAACCTCCCTGCCTTTAGAAGTATCTGTCGAATTCTTATCAGCTGGCTCTCGGTGGTTTTTTCCCAGCTGACTCCCCCAGATGCCTCATGTTGAGCTATCGCTGATGCCAGAAGCTGCCCCCGATACCAGTGATGTGTCAGAACTGAGCTCAGGTCACAGCCAGGGCTCTTCAGAGATGCATCATTCAGGGTGTGTCTAAACTACATGGCTCCATCGATGGAGCCATGCAGATTAGGCTGATCGGCAAAGGGAAATGAAGCCGCGATTTAAATAATCGTGGCTTCATTTACATTTAAATGGCTGCTGCGCTGAGCCGACAAACAGCTGATCAGCGCGCTAGTCTGGACGCTCCTGCACCCACCTGAAAGCCCTTTATCGACCTCCCTGTTATGCCTCATAGGATGAGGTTTACCAGGGAGGTCGATAAAGGGCTTTCATGTCAGCAGGGGAGCGTCCAGACTGCCCCGATCTGCCGACAAACAGCTGATCGGCAGAGCGGGGCAGCCATTTAAATTTAAATGAAGCCACAATTATTTAAATCGCCGCTTCATTTCCCTTTGCCGAACAAACAAATCTACATGGCTCTGTCGCCGGAGCCATGTAGTCTAGACAGACCCACACTGTTGACCCAGATAATCTTGAGTGGGGCTCCTGCTGAGAAGGGCTTTCTGAGCGACGTACCCGCCCTCCAGCAGAACTCGCACAGGCCGTTCCCCTGAATTCTCACTCTCAGGCGCAGGAAATCTTGAGGCCGGCTGAACCCCTAGCGTGTCGGCCATCTTGAACAGGGCCAGACAGGATGTGACATCAGCTCTTCCTATGAGTTTGTGGAGAGTCTTGGCTGCACTGGAACCATTTCCACTTCCTGAGCTAGCCCAGACCCAAAACCCTTGAAGGGGAGAATTCTGGATCTGGGGATGTGGAGACAATCCCCAAATCCTGAGTGAGGTGGATCTCTGAGTATTACACCCATTTCCCAGATACAAGCAGGGTTTGGACCAGACTGTAGTACCTTTATTCTTACTTCCAGTGGGACTACTTGGGGAGTAAAGTGGTTCTCACTGGGAGTAGGATGCTGCACATTGGCCCTTTGTAACTTACTCAAGAGGGTAGAAATGGGAAGGGAGTCCTGCCTCCATGATAGTTGCTCTAACCACTAGACCTCACTCCAGCTGTCTCACTGTGGCTAAGAAGTTATTACTACCAGCTGACCGCTTGACAGTACAGGGGAAGTATGTCACTGCTTCTGTAATTAGCATCATTGAGTATCCAAAGGGCTGTGTAAATGAAACCAGTGTATAGCGATGGTAGACTCCCAGCAGCAAATACAAAGAGCAGAGCTGCCTGGGGCCAGTGAGCTATGTCTGCTATGTTGATGGGTACGTTAGGGTGAGCTCCATGGTTTGCAGAGACTGAAAATAACACAGTTACTCAGCCAAGCCAAGCACAACTGGGAGCTGGGGGGAGACGCAGATATGCTGGAGGATAGGGGAAGGAGTAGGGTCCAAATTGACTTAGACAAATTGGAGGATTGGGCCAAAAGAAATCTGATGAGGTTCCACAAGGACAGGTTGGGACAGAAGATTCCCAAGCAGTACTACAGGCTGGGGACCGACTGGCTAAGCAGCAATTTGGTAGAAAAAGATCTGGGGATTACAGCGGATGAGAAGCTGGCTATGAGTCAGCAGGGTGCCCCTGTAGCCAAGGGCTACGTCTAGATTGCATCCCTTTTTCGTAAAAGGGATGCAAATTAGACGTATCGCAATTGCTAATGAAGCGGGGATTTAAATCTCCCATGCTTCATTAGCATAAAAATGGCTGCCGCTTTTTTCTGGCTCTGAGCTTTGCTGGAAAAAAGCGTCAGTCTAGATACGGATCTTTCGGAAAATAAAGCCTTTTCCGAAAGATCCCTTATTCCTCTTAAAATAAGGGCTAAGGGATCTTTCGGAAAAGGCTTTATTTTCCGAAAGATCCGTATCTAGACTGACGCTTTTTTCCAGCAAAGCTCAGAGCCAGAAAAAAGCGGCAGCCATTTTTATGCTAATGAAGCATGGGAGATTTAAATCCCCGCTTCATTAGCAATTGCGATACGTCTAATTTGCATCCCTTTTACGAAAAAGGGATGCAATCTAGACGTAGCCCTTGGCTACAGGGGCACCCTGCTGACTCATAGCCAGCTTCTCATCCGCTGTAATCCCCAGATCTTTTTCTACCAAATATGCATTCGTAGGATCGTTGAAAGCAGATCTAGAGAAGTGATTTTTCCCCTCTAGTCAGCTCTGGTGAGGCCCCATCTGGAGTATTGTGTCCAGTTCTGAGCCCCTCATTACAGAAAGGGTGTGGATGCATTGGAGAGGGTCCAGCAGAGGGCAACCAAAATGATGAGGGAGCTGGAGCACATGACCTACGAGGAGAGACTGAGGGAGTTGGGTTTGTTTAGTCTGCAGAAGGGAAAAGTGAGGGGGGATTTGAGAGCAGTCTCCAACTACCTGAAGGGGGGTTCCAAAGAGGATGGAGAGAGGCTGTTCTCAGTGGTGACAGATGACAGAACAAGGAGCAATGGTCTCAAGTTGCAGTGGGGGAGGTCTAGGTTGGATATTAGGAAAAACTATTTCACTAGGTGGGTGGAGAAGCACTAGGATATTGGGTTGGATATTAGGAAAAACTATTTCCCTAGGGAGGTGGTGGAATCTCCATCCCTAGAGGTTTTTAAGTCCCACTTGGCAAGGCCCTGGCTGGAATGAATGAGTTGAGGTTGGTCCTACGTTGGTCAGCAGGCTGGACCCCCTCCTAAGATCTCTTCCAGCCCTAGGATTCTATGAGTGGGGGCTGTGAAGGACTGTGAAAATAAATCAAGCGGTTTTGCAATTTTGCACGAGCGCTGATTCCTCAAGCAGAGGCCTGTAGGTATTGTTGTTTGACCTTCCCTGGTGGGTGACTCTGTAACCCTGGCCGATGACGGAGAGGAAGTTTCACCAGGGAAAGGTTCGGCAAAGTCTTGAGCAGTGGTTTTGAAAGAGCTGGCAAGCTCTTTTCTTTGCCGTGCAACTTCCTTTGATTCCCAGCAGCCAGAGGGCGGCCAGCATATGAATGCTCTCCCTCCATGTCTTGTTTCCAAAGGGCCTGAAGGAGGTTTTATTGTACTGTTGCAGAAAGGGGCAGTGTCCACAGCAGGTTTGTGAGCCTTTTCTTCTTCCCTTTCGGGGAAAAAAGAAGCCACCAAGCCCCCGGAGCCTGGCTCCCTCCCTCCTTCCCCGGGCAAGCATGAATTAACCAGGAATGTTCGAGAATTATGCCTGAATAATTCATGAACCTGAATTAATCATGCATTTGCATGAATTATTCATGAATAACTCATGGAAATGCAAGGTTTATTCATGCTCCAAAAAACCCAAAGGCTTCCCCCCACCCTCGCCTTGGCTGCTCACTCTTCCCATAAGAAGCAGACTGACACCGGCTAAAGAAAAGAGAGAGAGGTGTCTTTATTTTACAGGGGGGGCCTCCTTATCCAGACAAAGGAAACCTGGCAAGAAATGGTGGTGAAGGGCAACACGAGGCAAACGAGTTGTCCGGGCACCTTCTCTTCTGCAGCAAGCAGCTGAGGGCTGGATAGACAGGAGACATTTTGCAAGACTCTGCAAGTGAAGCAGTGCTAACCAGGCAAGGATCGAGATGTGTTGATGTCAGGGTTTGATCTCTCTGCCTCTCTCTCTGTCTCTCTCTCTCCCTCTTTCTCTCTCTCACTTCCTCTCGCTGGCTATGTGGATTATGCGTTTAGTTGCCGTCTTAAAAAAAATAATAATTAAAACCAGGAGAGCAAATGGGAGTGGGCGGGGAGGAAAGCCACTTCTGAAGATTAGGGGGAAAGAAAACAGCTAGGAAAAGTTCCTATTTTAGGCTGGAGTTGGGAGCTACTTGCCTCATTATTTGTTGTAAAACAGATCTGGAAACCTAGTTATTCAAGGGAGGGTGGAATCGCAGCTGTGCATTTGTCCCAGCCAGGAGCTGTGTCTCTGTGTAACCTTTTGTGCTCCAAAGACCGGGGTTATCTGCAGCCCTAAGCTGGAAAGCACTAAGGCTGGGCAGCGACAGCAGATGGGGCTTGGAGACGAGCCAATTAACACAAGATAAAATATTCTATCCTATTAAAAACTCATTGACGTGTCCTAGCCGAGGGGGAGAGCACATCAGGGGATAGGATTCGCTAGCCGGGCAGCTATTTTACACAAGGCTCGGCGGGTTTGTGGAAAGTTAGCTGCTTTTGCAAGCAAGCTCCTTTTCCAGAATGGGTGGGAGATGAAAAATAATCCTCCAAGTGCGATTCAGAGCCCAGAGTGAGTGGAATCAATATGGAGGGGGCGCAGAAAACACCAAGTCTTTAATCTTGGGGAGGAGGGGAGAGAGATAGGGGGACATGAAAGCAGAGGAAGCCAGTTTGGATTGGGTGAGGTTGCTTTGACCTACGCTTCTTGTTCGTTCCCTTCTCCTTGTTCTGCGGTGTAATATGTCTCTGCTCCCGTGTGTTATCTGGCTCCAACGAACCTGTCTGGTGCCCAGCATAGACTCAGCACCAGATTCACACAGCCACACGCATAAAGGGCTTACTCCCCAATTGCTCCAGTTCAAATGAAGGCGTGTATTTCTGGAGGATAGTACAGGTTGAACCTCTCTAGTCCAGAACTCTGTGGTCCAGAAATATCTGTGGTCCAGCATGAGTTTAGTGAGTCAGATGTTCACTTTTCATGGGTGTGGCCAAGTTTCCAATGGTCCCATAAAGTTTATTTACAGCCACCCAGTCCTAACTCTCCTTGTTCTGTGCTGTTATTTAACTCTAATTCAGTGGTGCTCAACCTTTTTTAATTCGCGACCCCCAGAGCCGGGAGAAATTTTTGTTACGCAAAAAAAAAAAAAAGGCGCGGCCCCTTTAACTTAAAGCACCGGTCCACTCTTCTGCCACTCCCCCCGCCCCTGCTGCATGTATGTCGGGATCCGAGCCGATAAAACAAAATGGCGGCCGTCCCAGTGCTGCGACCCCCCCAGGAAGACAGCCGTGACCCCCTTGTGCGAGGGTTGTGCACTGCTGCTCTAATTGACCCCTAAATGTCTTCTAAGAACCCAGCAAGCAGTGGATGTGTTGGTAATGCTGCTAGACCATACAGACCTCCTGTGGTCCAGAAAATTCTCTCATTCGGAACTGGTCAGGTTCCGAGGGTGCCGGACTAGAGAGGTTGAACCTGTACTTCCGAGTGTCAGGGGTTTGGGGAGCTTGTTAAAGACTTCCTATCCCCACGGACCAGGCAATGCAATGATGCTTGGCATGATACCACCCCTGTTTTCCATTTCAGGGCTTCACCCAGCCTCCCCTCCCATTCCATTTTTCTGGAGTCACTAGCAAGGCCTTGGACTCGCCTCCTGTTTGCCACAGTGTTCTGACAACTCCCATCTGGCGCACGGACACAGGCCAGCTGTTCAACACAGCTGCTTCGGTGCCGCACATGGCCCAGCCAGCTCCTCCCCTTGTACCGGGTATTCTGGGAGCACCTCTTGCAGCAACTGAAGCTAGAGTACCCCACCCCAGTAGTTCCTCTAGTCCAGCCCCCTGCACTCAAGGCAGGAGTATGCAAGATCCAGACCATTCCTGACAGGTGTGTGACGAACCCATTCTTAAAAACCTCCAACAAAGAAGATTCCACAGCCTCCCGGGGCAATTTGTCCAAGGAGCCCAATCTAAACTTCCCTTGCTGCAATTTAAACCCATTGCTTCCTGCGCTACCATCAGAGGTTAACAAGAACAATTTCCCCCCTCCACCTTGTTACCTATTTTGTACTGGCAAATTGTTATCATATCAGCCCTCGGTCTTCTCTTCTCCAGCCTAAACAAACTCGGTTTTGTCGGTATTTCTCCAGAGATCACGTTTTCTAGACCTTAAATCATTTTTTGATGACCTCCCCTGGACTTTTTGCATTTTGGCCATGTCTTTCCTTAAATGTGGCACTCAAAACTGGACACAAGACTCCAGCTGAGGCCTAATCAGTGCAGAGTAGAGCAGAAGAATGATTTCTCATGTCTAGTTTGCAACACTTTTGCTACTACATCTCAGTGGGATATTTGCTTTTTTTTTTTTTTTTTTATAACAGTGTTACATTTCTGATTCATATTTAACTGGTGAGCTGCTGAAGATCCATTTCCTCTGTCCTCTTTCCTTGGCAGTCTTTTTCCATTTTTACATGAGCACTTGATGGTTCCTTCCTAAGTGGAGTAATTTGCAAAAGAGCATCTTGGTCTGTCCTGTCAGTTTTGCTTGTAAGCTCTTCAGAGCAGGGACTGAATCGTCTCAGGTGTTTGTACAGCACCTAGCACAGCGGAGCCCTGATTCAAATCTCTAGGGCCATGTCTACACTATGAAACGATTTCAAAATGACTGAATTTGCCTTAATAATGCCTGAAACAACAAAATCGAAATAGCATGTCCTCACTACAGGGAATGAGTCTGAGGCAGGCTCCATTAATGTGGACGTGCTACCTCGACTTAGAAGGAGCACTGGGAAGTAATTAGTCTGAATTATTCTGGGGACTAGTTATTTCAAGAGTGGCACTGAAGGATCCACACCACCCCTATTTTGGAATAAGCGCTATTCTTCGAGAAAAGCAGCAGTACAGATTTTGAAACAAGCAGTCCATTATTTCAAAATAACGGGCTTGGTAGTGTGGATGCTCAACTTATTAATTCAGCCTAAGTGGGGGTTATTCTGAAATAAAGCCCTAGTGGAGATCAGGGCTAGAGGTGCTACTGTAATACAAATAATAGTACCAATAGATGGAGCTGTCCACATACGCTAGAACAGCCGTGGCCAACCTGCGGCTCCC